CAATTATTTGTTTCAACTACTTATTTGTTAAAGAGCTAATTCACAAGTATAAGTTCGGCCTAGACCCACAGTTGTGGACCGAGAGGGGTGCCTAACACCTTCCCCTCAAGGTTATTTCGAGCCCTTACCCTAAATCTCTGGTAATGCAAACCAATCCAAGAATTTATCGCTCTAGGTGCCCTAACGCACCATAACCCATTAGGTGGCGACTCTTCAAAATACCCAATTACCAAAAGGAAACGAGTTATTACCCCCATGGAATGTCGATACCCGGACCTTTCTTCCCCCGTAAAAAGGGGAGGGAAAAAAGGGGCGCAACAGCCACGAGATTGTCAGTTTTTTTGATGCCTACTCCGGGTACAATCAAATACAGATTAACCCGGAGGACCAGGAAAAGACTTTCTTTATCACTAAAAGCGACACCTATTGTTATAACGTAATGGTGTTTGGACTAAAAAATGCTACTCCAACTTATCAATGCCTAGTAAATCGAATGTTCGAAGAACAAATAGGGATCTATGGAAGTTTATATTGATGACATGCTAGTTAAGTCCCTGCGAGCAGAGAACCATTTGAAACATTTGCAGGAGACTTTCAATATACTAAGGAGGTACAACATGAAACTCAACCCAGAAAAGTGTACATTTGGGGTCGGCTCGGGCAAGTTTCTCGGCTTCATGGTGTCCATCAGGGGGATCGAGATCAACCCCGATAAAATAAAAGCTATCAAGGATATCAAAGTCGTGGATAATGTGATAGCCGTGCAGAGGCTGACCAGGCGCATAGCCGCCTTAGGGCGATTCATCTCGAGGTCCTCTGATAGAAGTCACCAGTTCTTCTTACTGCTTAAGAAGAAGAGCGATTTTGCATGGACCCCGATAGGCCAACAAGCCTTACAAGAACTAAAACGATACCTGTCAAGCCCTCCACTGCTTCACACCACGAAATCGGATGAGCAACTCTACTTGTACGTGGCGATCTCAGAAATAGTGGTAAGTGGGGTCCTAGTCCGAGAGGAACAAGGTAAGCAATTCCCTGTTTACTATGTTAGTCAGACCCTAGGTGAGGTCGAAACTAGGTATCCTCACTTAGAAAAATTAGCGCTTGCTTTAATAAGCGCCTCTAGGAAATTAAAACTGTATTTCCATTGTCACCCAATATGTGTTGTAACTACCTATCCTCTTCGAAATATTTTGCATAAACCCGAACTTTCGGGGTGGTTGGCCAAATGGGCCATGGAACTCTGCGGGTACGATATTGAGTATCAACCCCGAACAACCATGAAGTCTCAAATCTTGGCAGATTTCATGGCTGACTTCACGCCAGCCCTTGTACCCGAGGTCGAAAACAAACTGTTATTAAAATCGGGTACATCATCGAGGGTATGGATCCTCTTCACAGACGACGCTTCGAATGTGAAAGGGTCCAGGATGGGCATCATTTTGAAGCCGCCCACGGGTAACATAATTAGACAACCTATCAAAACTTCAAAGTTAACTAACAATGAGGCCAAGTATGAGACCATGATTGCAGGTCTCGAGCTGGCTAAAAGTTAGGGAGTACAGGTCATCGAGGCCAAATATGATTCCCAACTTGTGGTAAACCAAGTCAATAGAACTTTCGAAGTCCGAGAAGATCGAATGCAGAGGTACATGGACAAGCTACATGTAACCTTACATCGAAAGGAGTGGACCTTATAACACATACCTCGAGAAAAAAACAGTGAGGCCGATGCCCTTGCAAACTTGGGGTCATCGGTCGAAGATGACGAGCTTAACTCGGGGACTGTTGTACAACTCTCGAGATCAGTAATCGAAGAAGGCCACGCCGAAATAAAATCTACAAGTTTGAATTGGGATTGGAGAAACAAGTACATTGAATACTTAAAGAACGGGTAGCTCCCATCAGATCCAAAGGAGTCACGGATTCTACGCGCGAAGGCAACACGTTTCACTTTGGCCGAGGATGGAACACTATTAAGAAGGTTATTTGATGGGCCATCGGCGATCTGTTTAGGACTAGGAGACACTGACTACGTCCTATGGAAGATTCACGAAGGCACTTGTGGGAACCACTTCGGTGCAGAATCACTGGTTCACAAAGTTATCAGAGCAAGATACTATTGGGATGATATGGAAAATGATACAAAAGAGTTCGTCCGAAAGTGCGACAAGTGTCAAAGGTATGCGCCGATGATTCACCAGCCCGGGGAGCAGCTCCACTCGGTCTTATCCTCATGGCCGTTCATGAAATAGGGAATGAACATCGTCGGCGGTTTACCATCGGCCCAGGTAAAGCTCAGTTTATTTTATTTATGACTGATTATTTTTCTAAGTGGGTTGAAGCACAGGCCTTCAAGAAAGTTAGAGAAAAAGAAGTCATAGACTTCATTTGGGACCACATTATATGTCGATTCGGGATGCCCGACGAGATTGTATGCGATAATGGAAAGCAATTCGTTGGCAGCAAAGTGACTAAATTTCTCGAGGATCACAAGATTAAAAGGATTTTATTAACGCCATACCGTCCCAGCGGGAACGGACAAGCCGAATCGACCAACAAACCCATCATTCAAAATCTTAAGAAAAGACTTACGACGCTAAGGGAAAATGGAGAGAGATATTGCCCAAGGTTCTTTGGGCGTACCGCACAACATCGAAATCCAGCACAGGGGCAACACCGTTCTCTTTGGTCTATGGTGCCGACGTTCTTATCCCGGTCAAGGTCGGGGAACCCAGCGTCAGGTTTCATATGCAACGAAAGAATTGAATAACGAGGCCATGATTACAAGCCTAAAATTGTTTGATGAAAGACGCGAGGCCGCCCTCATTCGATTGGTCGCACAAAAACAGCGCATCGAAAGGTCAATCTTTGACACTTTAAAATTGGGGACTTGGTGCTACGAAAAGTCACCCTCAATACTCGAAACTCGAATGAAGGAAAATTGGGTCCAAATGTGGAGGGACCCTATCAGGTCCTCGATATTATCATAAAGGGATCCTACAAGCTCGGCATGATGAACGGTGAGCAACTAACAAACAATTGGAACGTATCACTCCTAAAGCAATACTACTGCTAAGGTACAACCTTCTCCATTTTCATTTATATTTTAAACTAACCAATTGCAGGTGTTCGATCAGGAATGACGATGGATCATTAGGCACGAAGTTTTTAGGTCTGAAAGCACGCGTTGAACTCTTTTTCCCTTAGACCGATTTTGTCCCAATTGGGTTTTTTGGTAAGGCTTTTAACGAGGCAACCATTGATCGTGCTAACTTGTAACAACAGGGTCTCGATAGGTAAATTTTGTAAGGGCCAAATGGTCGAAAGAACCGTGCCCGTATAGGTTACTCGAGCCCTAACATCAAACATGTACGCATGTATAATCATCTATTGAAAGAAGTATTTTTCCTTACCGATATCTCATGCCTTAGAAAAATTTCCTACTTTCATACTCGATCTATTGTGTAAACATGCTTAAGGGCCGAACATAACGGGAGTTCAAACAACTGGACCCACGCTCGGGGACTGCCGTCTGAAAAACAAACGAGATCGAATTGTTAAAACTTCGAGATCATAAGAGCTTAAAGTCGACCCTCGATTTTTACAAGCCACGGCCACCCCACTCGGGGACTGAAACTCCGAGCAAGCTCAAAGTGAAACGGGAAAATCATCCTAAGAGGCAAGTCCCAAATAAAAAGGCTACGGCTGAATTAACACGGTTTAGAGACGTCTGAATTTCGTAATAAAACATGCCTTCAAATATTTTCATAAACCGGTTAAAAGGGCTACCCTCGGCAAAATTATAAAGAGCTTCGATAATATTAAGATTTAAAAATTCTAGTGAGTACAAAATTGTTCGAACTCTTGAACGATGTCTTATTTAATGCCAAGGCATTACAAATTTTTTATAATTAACAATGATCTTTTTAAGCCGAAAAGGGGAAAAAGCCAATCTTTATTAAGGCCGCATCGGCCTAATATAAAAGCCTAAGGGCCATCTTTCGTTTTGAGTTCGAGGGATCATCCTCATTCAATTAAAACCTAAGGGTTACCCTACTTCGAGTTCGAGCAAATACCCATTCGACACTAGTTTGGTTGCGGTCCAAATTATTTGAACCTCGAACCTATGAATAATAATTTCATAGAGCATAAATAAGGCACAAATTTCATACGGCAGAAGTGATGAAATTTCACAAAAAAGATCTTTATATATGTCAAAAGTTATTTACAAGGGCAACATGGCCCGATCGGAATTCTATGCAAAAAATCCAAAAAAAGGCCTTAAATACTTAATCTTCTCCAGAAGCAATATCTTCACCCTCAGGGTCTTATCCACTCTTGGATCCACTTATGCTCCCGGAATCATCATCATCACAAGAGACCAATGCTTTAGCTTCGGCTTCAAGATCTTTTGCATCTTTGATCTTGGCAGCAAGATCGAAGCCACGAGCGTAGATCTCCTCGAGAGTCTCCCTTCAAGACTGGCAGTTGGCAAGCTCAGCAACCCAGTATGCTCGAGTTGGGGCAGTATAAGAAACTGCCTTTGCTCGAGCTTGAGCGGTTTCGGTGTCAGATCGGTAGACGGCCACGATTGTCTCAGCATCAGCCTTAGCCGTCTCAGCCTTAGATTCCGCCACTGCAAGTTCCGTGACCAACCGAGCCTGGAGCTCCTCAATTTTCTTGGCTTGTGCCAAGTTCTTCTTTTTCATGCCTTATAGTTGGCTTTCAGCCGAGGATAACTGAGCTCGAACAGCCTCTTTCTCTGAGGTAAGGCAATCTATATTTTGCTTCCATGCTATGGTTTCCGCCTTCACCGCATCTACTTCTCCACAGAGTTGCCCGATCGTCTTGTGTAGCTGGTGGAACTATGAGATTGAATTGTTAGCCATCACTCCCGAAGCTTCTAAGACTTTAATTACCTGCTCGTTTAGTTTGCTCTATTCTTTCTGAGCCGCGGATAGCTCAACTCGGAGGCCCTGGATTCTTCTTCTTTTTGCTCACCGAGAAGGGGCGTTTCTCTCCTTAATAAGCCCTTGAATTTCGGCCTTGTATCGGTTCAGTTCTCCTTGAGACCTAAATAAAGCTTCATGATGAAGCACCGAGGCCTACACAAATAGAAGAAAAAGAATTAGGCAAGAAGAGAAAAACACATGTGTGGAAACTGGTTTTGACAAGGAAGTTTAGGGCTGACCCGATTCAAAGCCTGCTAGGTCTCATTGAAGAGACACAATGCTCCTACCTCGTCCATCAGTGCTTGGTCTTCCTCCGTGTCCAGACCTTGATGGTAACTAGCCGCCCCTACGGGGATGGCAAAAACTTGTGCTTCCTCCGGGATCAAAATGATGATTGTTTGTTTGCACTCGGGATTGGCACTAGGAGCCGGAAACTGGCTGGTCAATGTGAAGCTCGAGGAAGATTCACCCAAGATCTTCCTCGATATCTCCAAGTCACTCAAGCCAGCAGCATCATCGACCCCAGCGAAATAAACACGGTAAAGGTCCTCCCCTCTGAGGACACCTTGTACATGAGGAGTCTTTATGGCCCGAGCCTCTTGAACTTCCTCTTTGGAGAATGAAGGAAGCGACGGGGAGTCTCTGATTTCTATGGCATCAGGTGGATCTCTTAGGACGCTCTCCTTATTTCGAGGAGCCTCGTGACCGGCCTTCACAACCTTATACGATGCCTTCTCACCTCGAGGTTAGGTACCTTCAGCTCCATTCTTCTCAGGGACTCCAATTGAATCCCGCTCTTGGGCCCCGTCAGATCGGGGCAGAATATATCAAGTTTTGACTAATCTGGTGGCCTTTTGATCCTCGGTATTAGCTCGTGCTCGAGCCACCAGACCAGAATCATCCTCCTTTTATTCTTCTTCTTCTTCCTCTCTTAGGAGTTGAACCGACTCTATAGATAGGGGAATCACATCCTTCTTGGACTTTCTAGCCGCTTTATACTTAGGCTCTGACCCCTTGGAAGTCTAAGCCCTTTTTCTCTTACTTTCCTTTGCCGGCTTCGGGGTAGGGAGTGGGTTTTCTTCTTCACCAGACGGGGGCCTCATCATCACCTCTTTCCCAAGACCTACAAAAATAAAAACAAGGAAGCTCGAAAAAATACCTTAATAGTGGTCAAATCACTAAGTCAAGGAGAAGAACTTAGGATGGCTACAGGCCTCCTATTGACCTTTCATAGGTTGCGCCAAGGATGCTTGGCGTGTGTCGACTGCGATACCGAGCTCCGAACCCAGCCATCAAGATGGGGGACCGCTCTCGGAATCCAGGCAACGGCTGCACCGAGTAAAACACATAAGGAAACGAAGGCAATAAACAGAAAGTTGGAACGGAATTATACTTACGTTTCATATTCCTCTTTTGGGGAAAAGGCATACACTCAGGTGGGATTAAGTCTGAGGTCTTCACTCTAATGAACCGGCCCATCCAACCCCGATCTCTATCCTCGTCTATGCTCAAGAAAGACGCCTTTTTGGCCCGACGCTGGTGCTTTATTAATCCTCCCCGATAAAGCCGGGGGCTATATAGGCGAATGAGACGGTCGAGGGTGAAGGGAAGCCCCTTGACTTTGCTCACAAAAAATCGAAGCAGTATCACTATCCTCCAGAAAAAGGATGAATTTGATCGAGGGTGACCTCGCACTTCTTGCAGGAGTCCACCATAATTGGATCTAGAGGACCCAGCGTAAAAGGGTAGGTGTAAACACTCAAGAATCCCTCCACATAGGTAGTAATCGATTCTTAAGGAGTGGGCACCACTACCTGCTTATTGCCCCACTAATCCTTCTTAACTTGGTGATGTATTAGACGTCAATACCACACAGGGGGGGGGGGGGTGATTTGTGTGGTACCTAATTTTTGCACTAGAAGAACCTGGTTCTTCTAGGTGTTCTAACTTCTACTGTTTGCGGAATTAAAATACAGTAAGAAAGAACACAGAGATTTTTACGTGGAAAGCACCTGGCTGAAAAGGTGAAAAAACCACGACCTACTACTTAGTAGGATTTTCCCAAACTTCCACTAAACTTCAATGAGCCAAAAACAGCATTTACAAAACTCTTTGTAAACCTAAGAATCAACTCTAATCCCAGTGTAGCACACAGCCTCAACTGTTGCGACACTTTCAAGTTAACTCTAACTTGAATACTCAATGCACCTAATACACTTGCTTCTAAGAAAGCTGGAAAGGTACAATGTTAAAATACCTACTACAATTGAACTAGAAATAAAGAAAGACACAATGGAATTGGTTCTTCACACTTAGTTCTTGTAGCTTCAGATTTGCACACTCGTATCACACACAAATTGCTTGCAACAATCGCCTTGCTCTTTTGCTCTCAATTTGGTTTAACTTCAGCTTATGCGCCATCACCTGTAAAAGAGAACAATCGTTATATTTATAGAGTTAGTAATCCGAGTTTGATAAGAACTCGAATTGTGGATCCTTTGACAATTCGAGTCCAAGAACAACTCTAACTCCTAATCCATATTCTTGATCCGGATGTAATTCTCTTTTCATAAGGAGACTTCAACTCCTTATCCTATATGCAATCTTTTCGATCAGTTCAGAAGATATTCATCAAGATATTGCTGCTTGATCTCTAGGACTTATCTTCTTCACGTGCATCTCATGTGTATGGGCCATAACAACTGTGTCTCCTTAGATGAACCTGGTCCTTCACTGAGTTCGTTTGTCATTCTTCAAAACTTCAACTGAGCTTGGGCCAACAATTTCCCCCTTTTTGATGATGACAAACTCTGTGCTTTTACTGATTATAGAACCTGTGGAACTCAACTAAAATATCATCACTCAAAAAATTTTATTTATCATTAAGGGCCAGATTTAATTAGGTCATAAACATCACTGTTCAGAAAATAGACACAATTTCTTTTAAAGCATAATATCTTCCCCCTTTTGGCATCATCGAAAAGTTGCATAAATATGTGAATCCCAGAAAGCATGCTTTAGATAATCAAAAATCAACTTGACAAAAATAACTATTAAGAGCAAAATCATCACAAAACAAGAGAAATGCAAATTGTCATTGATAAGGCATTGTTTCTACAGTACAGTCCACAAAAAGAAAGAACAAAAACTACCAACCATGAGCAAAAACAAGAAAAATCCCTAATCTGGGTCACTAAGGGTAACTGAAATGGTTCGGAACTAGGACAAAGATGGCTAAGGCTTAGAAGAACTGGAGGGTTGGGATTGGAGTAGGTTGAGCATTGTTTGTAGCATCCCTTCACTCTTTTCCTTTTCTTTTGCAAGTTCTGCCTTCAGCCCATTCCTTTCTTCTTCCAATTCAGCTACTCGAGCCT